TCAGGGGGGCGAACCAGTAAGCTGCATTTCTCCCCAGTCCTCTGCTTCAGTTCCTGCCATGCCCTTCCTCAGGGGTGGGCTGTGACCTAAGTGTGAACCAAATGAGTCCTTTCCTCTCTTCTGGTCATGGTGTTCATCCCAGCAGCAGAGAACAAACTAGGACACCATCTTCTCGTCATCGAGGACAGAATCAAACACTGCAGGGGACCAGGGACACTGCTCTGTATCCACCAAGAGCTGAGCAGGCTCCTTATGCCTCTGGGCAGCACCAGGGTTTTCAAAGGGCTGCAGGCCATCAGCAGTCACTTCCAGACAGTGTCAAGCTGGGTTCAAGTTTACAGCATCCATTCCAGGTCAAAGGTCACTGGGAATGACTGGCTTACAAGAACCTGCGATCAAAGCTGGGCACAGGAGGGGCCAGGGCCTGCTTCCTGATTTCTCAGTGACTTCCCAAGGTCCTCCTGGGATGCTCCTACCACAGTGTCCCATCAGGCCCCAGTGTCCCATCAGGCCCATAACAATGGCTTGCTTGTTGCAAAAGAAACTGAAAGTTGAGGAGACCTTGCTTATCTTCACAAGCAGCTCTGATCCTGGCAGAGACCCAGGGGCTATCTCAGGAGGCAGGGTGGACATAGAGCTGGCCACTCAAATGGTACCTGCTCCCCACTCCTTCCTCCCTAGCACCACATGGGGCCCCTGGAGGATGAGGACATCCCTCTTCTTCTAGCTTGCTGTACTCAGGGTGCCATGCCCATATTTGTTTAAAGATCTAAGTAATAAACATCATGGGAAGACAAATGGAATGCTCTGGAATTGCTGAAGACAGCCAAGAGCAGCCGCTAAACCTGGTCTGATGAGGGAGGGGGTGGCGGATCCAGAACCCACAGGACTGAACCAGATCATCTATCCGGCCATTACAAGCATGCGGATATGAGTGGGAGGAGACTATACAGTGGCAGGAGAGCCACTGTGTGTCTGGATGGGCAGGCCACCTGTTCCAAAGTGAAAGGGCAGGACAGACTCTTCTAAGGGAGGATGAGGCAGTGGAACTAGGGGACAAAGCTGAGGCAGGTGCATTCTTCAGTAGAACAGAAGAAGGTGAAACCCACCGAAGAGACAGAGGCACAGGCTAGGAAAGAAGGCTGAGTTCTTGAGGGCCCTGGGCAGCTGTGAAAGGCAGAGGCAGGGCAGAGAATGCCAAAGAAACAGAGAGAAGGGAGCCATAGTCCCAGTGAGCAACCCAGCAGGGCCAGCAAGATTGAGGACTCTCAGTGCAGAGGGGCTGCACTAAAGAGGATATCTTCACTGTGGACACATCAGGTCCACAAAGGCACAACAGGACCAGGCCGGGTGGAGCCCGGGAGTGTGGCGAGAAACCCCAAGCAGGCCTGGGCACCTTGATCTCTGGGTTTCAGCAGGACCAAGGCCAGGCAGCCACATCCACAGAGACAAAGCATTTCAAACAGAGACACTGACCAGCTTCCTCATGCTGCTGTGTCCTGTGGCTTTTCCCATTTAGAACATAAACAGCTCAGCAAAACTCAAGTGGCAGTTTCCATAGTAAGACCCGGGTTCCAGCTGCGGGAGATGGGCTGGGACAAAGCCACAGGCAGCTTAGCGTGGCTGAGGGGAAGCACGTATCAGACCAGGGCCAGGCTCCAACAAAGGCTCCCAGGCTTGCCCCTTGCCCAGCTATGGGCTTTTCAACCAACAAGGCTGGTTGGCCTGAGGCCCCAAAGGCTTCTTATGCTTTCCTTACAAACCCAGGCCTGGCTGAGCTACCAGGCAGGGGCCCTCTGGGTCCCCAATGAGAACTGCCTCATACTCATCATCCCTAAGTGGGCAAGCTTAGAAATCTTCTCCCCTGTAGATTAGATAAAGGACCAGTACTGAGGTCTGGGGGGCATGACCTCCCCCAAGTGGGGAAGCTAAGAAAGGACATAGGGAAGTCCCCAGAGCAAAGATAGAGGGGAGCTAGTTTCTAGATGGCAGATTCAGCTCCCAACTCCCTGCTTCTCTAACAGCCTAATTGAGAACTTCCTGGTCCCCATCTGTGCATCCTGGCAAGCCAAGGAAACATGGGACAAGTACGTAGAGAAGTGGCTGGACAGGCAACACTGCCCCTTGGTCACTGGGAAAATTCTAACCCAGGATGTCCTAAAGGCTTCTGGGTCTGCAGGATGGGAGCCTTCCCTACAGTCACAGAAGAAGGAAGCCAATCCATGAGGCTCCACGGATAGCACAGACCCGACCATGCCCCTCTGTAACATTCCAGCCAGCTGGAAATAACTTCGGATACAGACCATTTGTGAGATTTCAATCCCCAGACCAAGGGGATGTGATCACTCACACAGGTTAATGCTGGCTGGCGCCTAGCCTCCAGCATCCAACTTTAAGGCATGTGTGGCTCACTGGCTACCTGATCTGCCTCATCCGTCTAAACCTCACAGCAGCAAGCCCACTGTGATTCTACTTAAGCGCTGAGAAAACAGACACAGATTGAAGCACTAACCCAAGCAGAGATTAGAAGCAGAGGTCCTGAGGAGTGGGTCCCTGGGAACTCATGGGGTCACACCCAAGGGCCCAACAGGTTTTGCATAGGGCTTGGGAGGACAAGCCCCCATGGACTCTCTTTTGTTCTTCTACATGAAATGCCACACAGAGAAGCCAGAATCCCCCAAATTCTTACTGCCGTTCCCATTAAAGAAAGCTAGGCATTGTGTGAACCTGGAATTGTCTCCAAACACAAAAAGCAGCATCAAGCAGGGGCCCAACTACTTCACCAGTTCCTTTGAGTCTTGCCCTGGTAAGACCAAGAGGGCCTGAGGTTTTCTTCCTGAGTTTTGCTGGTCAGGTAATACCAGCAAAGGCCAGTGTTAGCATTGTGGTCTCCTCCCATATCTGCCTGAAATTGAGATGGCTAGGAGTTGGTAGCAAGAGGAACAAAGGGCTGAGATAACGCAGGAGTCATGGGCAAGCCCCTCACCAAGACTTAAGACTGCCATAGCAGAAAGCGACATATGCCTTATCTCATCCCTAGGGCCCAAATCTTTTTCTGGGAAGTAATAGTGGTTTGTTCCTTGACCTCCCACGAAGAGGAGATGGACTGAGTAAATGCAAGCCAGAAATGATTGCATGCTTTCAGATATGCCCAGTGCCTAGGAAGAAGAAATACTCTGAGCTAGTGTGCAAGGTCTAAGCAGTGTGGATGGGTGCAGGGCTGTAGGGTGTGGAGCCTGAGATGTGAACACACACACCAGGAAACCTGAAGACCTAGTTCTCACCAGGCTAAAGGTTCAACTCAGCACCGGTGCTAAATGACAGGGTGCCCAGAATCAGTGATAGGCTGACCACAGTGGCAGGGTGGAGGCCTTCTTGCTCCACCAGTCTCTACTCAGTGGTGGGAATGCAAGACACAGACAGAGAGGAGAATAATGCCTCTTGTGTGCTGCGATGTTCCAGGCACTGTTTATATCTCTCATTTACTTCTCATTACAGTCTATAAAGCAGATATAATGATCCCTTCACAGAGGAAGATGCCAGCCAGAGGACACCAGAGTGGCAGAGCCAGCACTCAACATCAAGTCTGCCTCCACCCAAAGCTGTGACCTAGCCTAGTGCAGGTGCCTGCCCCCACCCACCCCAGCGTTGACTTGTGGGTGACCTTTCTAGAGGTCACTCAACTTCAAGTATGTCCACTGAGAAAGCCCACCTTACCCATACTCACAGACCAGCCTGCCAGACCCAGAACTTACTCAGGCCCTCCTAAACTTCCTACTTTTCAACCATTGCCAAACAGCTCTTTGAAGACCTTTGGGGAGATTTAGGAAGGACCCACCACTGCTGGACAGATGACACCTCATCTTTCCTCTTTAAAGGGATAAAAGATGGTCAACAATGTAGCTTAATAACTGCCTTGCATGCATGAAGCTCAGGGCTCCAAACAAGCAAACACCGGCCCCCCCAAAAAACCCACACCAATCTTTATAATAAATTCTCATTTGGTGGGGTAGGGGAAAATGCATGTGTACAGATATGTGCTTTGTATACACACTGTATACACATGCATGTACACATTTGGACATGTGTGTTGATGCCTTCAAGTGCATGTGCCCACATGTTTGTGTGCTCAAATGGGCTGAGGCAGGAAGACACACAGTAGAGCCCTTCCTTCCTCTGGGAGGAAGAAGAGGTTGTTACATCTCAGGAGCTGTGCTCCAGGAGTAGGGAGCTGGGATCTGGTCCTGCATCTGAACCTGCACCTGCCATCCCAAGTCACTGGCCTATCAAAGGGGCTACCTAGGAGGAGGGATGGTACTTCCATTTTTTTCTAGGATGAGGCTGAGGGTGGAGGGTAGGAATCTCCTACTGGTGAACCCAGCCAGCCAAGAGGACACACCTGAGAACGAAGGCCCATACTGGTCAGGCCACCCCTCTTGGCTTCTTTTGCTGGGTCTACAGCAAGCTGCCCGGTTTCCCTGAGATGTTCAGCTGAGGTCCGGGAGCGATTTTCCCACAGTGGGCTTTTCCATAAGCACTTTAGGGGGAGCTAATGAGACCCTCCCCCTCGTACTCCCCCACACCCACCCATTGTCCCTTTGTCAATATCAACAGAAGTCAAGGGCACTCTGTGTCCAGAGAAGGGTCTTTAGAAGGGAGGGGCCACGAACAAAAAGGGGTCAGTGGCGAACCCCTCTCCTACGTGACTCAAGTTGGTTGGGAAGGCAGTGAACAGCAGAGCCTAAAGCGGGTCCCTTAGTCTCCGCGAGGCCACAGGGTGCAGCGGCAGAATCCCCCTCCCACCCTCCACCCCTGCTCTGCGACTGTCGCCGTCCACCTGAGACCGGCCCTGCGGCTCTGCACCGCCGGCTGCCTTGCCTCCCGGAGCCCTGCGCGCACCGCGGACTGCCAGGATCAGCTCCGTCCGTGGGCTCGAGCCCGCAGCGGGGACACCTGCGCCTACTAGGGCTCACGGAGGCCGCGGAGGAGGGGCGAGGTACCTTCTGGATGCGTCCATCGATGTCCAGGTAGATGGACTTGGGCCGGTAGCTTGAGGAGCCAGCCCCCATCGCGCCCGCAACGGCACTTGGACTTTTTCACCTTACTTTCTCTCCGCCGCCACCGCGCCGGGAGGGCGGGGGCGGGGGGAGGGGCGGGGGAGGGGCGGGGGCGGCCAGCCAACCAGAGCCAGCAGCTCCCAGCCTCCGCACGCCCCTCCTCCCACGGCGCCGGCCCGCCCCGCCCTTCCCTCCCCTCCCCTCCCCTTCTCCATCCTTCTCCTTTCTTACCAGGGCTCCTCCCTCCTGCCCCCCACACTCACTCTTGCCTCCTTTCCCCTCTCCCACTCCTTTTCTCCTCCTCCTCATCCCTGCTTCCTCTTTTCCTTTCTTTCCCCCATTATTCCTGTTTCTCTGCCCGCTCTCCTCTTTCTCCCTCCCACCTTCTCGCGCTTGCTCTGCCCACCTTCCTCTCAATTCTTTCTTACCCCTTTTTTCTTTCCCTACACTACCTCTTCCCTACCTCCTTTTCCTTCCCCCTCTCCCCTCCCCTCTTCCTCGGCTCAGTCTAACCCTTCCTCACCTAGGCTCCCCTCCTCCTAACTCACCCACCTCTCACTCTCCCCACCTCCCTCCTCCCTCCCTCTCTTTCATCTCTACCCCTCCCCTTTCCTCCTTTCCTCCCTCCCCCCTCATTCCTGTCACTTCCTTTCCCTCTCCCCCTCCCCTCCTCTGTCTTCTCTTGCTCCTCCCTCTCTCCTTCATCTCTTTCCCCACGTTAAGGCAAGCCCCTCTTGCCTTTGATTCCTGTCACCGTGATGGCCTGTTTCTGAGTGTCCTCTTCGTACATGTCCACTGTGCCCTTTAGCTTGATCAGAGATCACCCCTATACACGTGGTCACTCAGTCATCAACAGTCCCTGGGCTGAGGGCTGTGACTGACCCACAGGACCGGGAAACCAGCCTCCCAGCCCTGCAGTAAAGGCCACCCTCACTTAATTTGAATCGGAAATGGGGAAAGTTCCTTCCCCTGTTGGCTGTGCATTCCTGGAAGGGCAGGGAAGGCTGCTTCCCTGGCACCTGGAGTTGCAGGACGAGCCTAATGTCTGCTCTTTAAGCTGAGGGAAGATTGCCCAGTCCACTATCTGTTGGGTGCAGCACTTCCCTTACTCCTCCAACCCCCACCCCCAGGCAGCCAACACACACACACACACACACACACACACACACACACACACACACACACACACACGAGTTTTGCTCTTTTCCATGGGGTTGAGGGTGCATGGTAAGTGTGAGGGGAGAGAATTTCAGATTTCCTTACCCTCTGGATACAATTCTCTGGGGCTTTCCCTGTGGGAAAAGCTGGAGGAGTGGCTCTGAATTTGTTGCTCTTGGAAGCCACTGTCAAACCACTGGAGAAGGTCCTTATTGTTTATCCTAAGTGGATTTCCAGCCACATGGTCCATCTGCTGGGTTGTGCTTGCTGAGAATGCCTGGGGTTCCCTGTCCTACAGGCTGGAGAAAAGTCAGGCAAATCAACCAGCCAGGTGGATACCTTTTCTTTTCCTCACTTGGCCTTTTCTGGTCTCTACCTGGTAGACAGCCATTGGCCTTGCCAAGTCCTCCAGAGTTATTGGAGTCCAGACCAGGAATGAAGTCAGGGGCTTCCAAAAGCATCACACATTAAAGCCAGAGTTACCCTTACTCTGGCTCAGCTGTTAGCACTAGGAGAGTCCCAGAAGCAGTGAGCCATAGCCCAGAGTGTGGAGGAAGCTCAGAATGTCTGCTGTGCATACTCTGGTGACTGTCATGAGGTGAAGGAAGTGGCCACCTTCACCTACAGACTGCCCAGCCCCCATATCACCTTGTCAAATGAGCCAACACCATTTGAACTGCTGTTAGGGCCACTATGTGTCACCGTGCAGCCTGGCATGGAGAACTCCATGTGGCAGATGGCTTCCTTGTGCCCTAGACCTTGCTGATAGCTGGCCTAGTCTCCAGAAGTGGGTTTCTTTAAGACTAGGTACTTGCCCCCAGTGCAGCTGACCTGCAGTTTGGAGGGTGTGGCTCTGTGTGTCTGCAACTGTGGGTGCTGGGTACCAGGCAGCTGGCCCCTCCAAGGCCTGGCTGGCTCTATAGTCAGAATAACAATCACTTCTAATCTGATTTTGCATTGTGCAGCTTTCCTCTCAGGAGACATACCAATCCTCTGAACAGACACTTAATCACAGAGGCAGCAACTGCTACCCAAAGGGGAACATTTGCCCCTTCCCCTGTTCCCTCTGGGGCTATGATTTGTCCTTTCCCAACAACTCCCGCTGTATTCAGAACTGTTCCAGGCACTCTGGGTGCAAAGTATGTGAGTGAGCAAAATTACCAAAATCCCTGCTGGAGAAGGACTGGCATTTTAGAGGGTCAGACTAGACGAGGCAGATGAGTAAATGCAAATATGGAGTATTGAATAATATCTAGTGCCAAGGAGTAAAGTTATTGGGGACAGGGATCAAATGTGGGACACAGGGCCAGGCACTGGTGGTGCATGCCTTTAATCCAGCACTCAGGAGGCAGAGGTAGGTGGATCTCCGTGAGTTTGAGGCAAGCCTGGTCTACAGAGCTAGTTCCAGGACAGGTTCCAAAACAATACAGAGAAACCCTGTCTCTAAAAAACAAAACAAAAACAAACAAAAAAAAAAAATGTAGGGCACAGGAGCTGGGCTTATAGGCAGGGTCACTGTGTGAGTTGGTGATCTAAGTGAGGAACCTTCCAGCCACCAGTGGCCCCACCCAGGAGGGCTAGATGGAGGGCACAGCAGTGGTTCAAGACAGGTTCAAGTGGTTCAGATAGGTTCAAGAGGCAACCCCCTGTGAGTCACATAGGTGACTTCAGGTAGCTGTGTGTCTATTGGATGCAGCCTCATGGGAAGTTGTGCAGAAGAGAGATGTGTCTGACTAATAGTTTACCAGGTCTACCCTGGCTATTGAGTGGATGGTGAAGTCACACAGGTCACAAGGTAAGAGAGAGGTCATCATCAAAAAGCATGATGGCCATTTGGACCATGGTAAAGGAGTAGGATTCTACAGAGAAACAGGGTCAATAGATTATATACTATATATGATATACACATATAGTATATAATTGAGATCTATGTGTACATACAGATACCTCATCATATGATGTGCCTGATAAACCTATCATTAATTGGAAATATTTAAAATTAAACATGCCTGTCATTTACCTAACATATACATTATAGAGTTGACATTTTCCCATTTAGGGTCTTGGGGCACTGTGGTTACAATTTCTGCCTAGCTTTGAGCCTGAGACTGACTCATACAGCCTGTCATCAGTGCAGGGGAAGATCTGAAGGACAGTTTCTCTTGAATGCATGTGACTTGGTCAGTGTAGTAAGGAAAATGCTAAAGTTGAACTATCATCTAAGTTCACGGTCATTGCTCCTACAACAGGTGTTGGCTCAAGTGATTAGCAGTGGGCTGGAGACCCCAAAGGGCCAGTGCTGGTGCCTGTTTCTAGTCAGTCTGAAGCTGGAGAGCCCAGAGAGTTGCTGGCTGGCGTGCATCCCAAGTTCAAGGGCAGACAATGCCTGGCTTAAGCAGGCAGGAACAACAAAATCCTTCTGTCCCCAACTCTCTGTCCTATTAAGTCACCTGATGGGTCAGATAAAGCCCACCAGCATGAGGGTGGACAGCCAATAAATTTAACCTCACCCAGAATTCCATGTAAGATGCCCAGGTTAAGACATCATGCTCCAGAAGACTGACCCATAGAATTAACCCTCCTGAGGTGAGAAATGATTTGTGTCTATGTCCAATGTCTCCATGCCAACTGGCTTCATGGGTGGCCATGATTTCTCCTTCCTGCCATCCTTTCTCTTTGTTTAGCCTGCACCAGAGTTCAGGCCTTGGCATCCCTTGGTTAAGGCAAGGGCTGGTTTCTTTTCACGGTCCTTAGCAGCCTGGGGCTCCCAGTGTCCTGATTTGCTCCTGTGCCTGCAGCCCATGTGAGTGCCTCAGAATCAAAACAAAAATGGAAGAAACCATCTGCTCCTGCCAGGTGGCCCCGGGATCCCCAGCCAAGTAGAGGCCAGGACCTGTCCACCCGCCTCTTAGGTTAGCCTTGGATCTTTTGGGAAGTTGGTAAGTGTCTTAGTTAGGGTTAATGTTGCCTTAAGGAAACACCATGGCCAACAACAGCATGGGAGGAGAGGGCTTATTTTGTTTACATTTCCATATCACACACCATCATCAAAGGAAGTCGTGAATTTAGACAGGACAGGATCCTGGAGGCAGCAGCTGATAGAGAGGCCATGGAGGATGCTGCTTGCTGGTTTGCTCTTCATGGCTTGCTCAGCCTGCTTTCTCATAGCACCTAGGACCACCAGCCCAGGGATGGCATTCCCCCCACAATGGACTTGGCCCTTCCCCATCAATCATTAATTAAGAAAATGACCACAGGCTTACCTCTTCTCAGATGACTCTAGCTCGTGTCTACTATCAAGGACAGTGACTGAACTCAGTAAAAAGGGATGTTAAATGGGGGAGGGTCTTCTCAGATGTGTGGGATCCTGAATGTATGTCATCCTCAAGGAAGATTGTAGGAAAGTAGATCCTGGGAGTCAGGGCGGGGCTGACCTCTTTTCCAAGCCCCTGCAGAAGAAGTTGTAGTTTCTTCTGGTAGCATCTGATGGTTTTTTTTTTTTTTTTTTAATCAGCGTTCCCTGTCACTGTCAAAATGATCCTTTAGACCCTTTTTCACATTAAGGCTTCAAACAGCAGCTGAAGAAGGAGGAGCCAAGATAGGAGTGGGGAGAAATTGTCTAGTCTCTGGTTTCCATGCTCACACCAGCTCCCCATCTTCAGCAAGAAGCAAAGCCATAGTGAGGAAGGATAGTGGGTTTCAGTGATAGCAACTTTCCTTGATGTTGGGGGACTGGGAAGGAAAGCTTGAGCATTTGGGGGAAATCTACAGGACTTCCCCAGTGTGGGCGAGCAAGTTGTAATACTTAGGGCCAGTGGCTCCCAGTGACCAGCTTGTCTCTGGCTACTCTGAACCCTGGGACAACAGGCTGCAGTGGTGTCCTGTCTGTCCTTCCTGAAATCTAGCCAGTGTTTTTCATGACTGAAAGAAGGTAGCTGTTTTCTATACTACGCCTTTGATCACGGAACTGCAGAAGAGACCACATCAATTTCTCAAGCTGTGTATTCAG